TTGGGACTGCATTGGTGTGTTGAATACAACAAGTGTATAAGAATGACTAGTGGTTACTAGTTGGGACTGCATTGGTGTGTTGAATACAACAAGTGAAAAGAAGGAAACTGAAACACTGTGTAAGAAAGTTTTTAACTATACAGACGTTTTGGATGTTAGACCTTCGTGGGAGTAAAAGAGGAAGAATTGATTTGCACTGCAGATCCTGATGTAAATACACGAAAAAAGAAAATATCTGATCTTGTGCTTTCATTTCCATACAATATATTATCATAGGAATTAAAGATTCATAGTCGTGATCAATAATTGTCTGATTGCAGGACAAGTTAGATAGTGACCAGTGGGGTGATCTGGTCACAACAGCACTGAAGGCAAATCAACACTYCCTGGACAGCGAGTTTGACACCAAACCTAAATCAAGCAGTTATGACAGAACTCTATTATTGGGAGGCTGTGTGGATGGTACTATTGTCGTCTATGACTGGCAAAACAGGAAGAAACCAGGCCATATTTCATTTCAAATTGAGGTCAGCCCCAAGTTCTACTTTGTGCTCTATATCTCACTAAGAAATAGTGAGATGTGGGACTAGTTTACCCTGGCCCTTCCACAACAAATATTTTGGAGTTCAAAAATGACATGTCAGCACTTTTGACCCCCCCTCCCTTCAGCACAGTTTGTCCCTCATGAAGCTGATGGTGCATACATTACACCTCATCCACCCCTTTGTTCCCCTTCCTGTTCTTGACTGACATTTTGTCATATTGTGTTACAGGCACATCGTGAAGAGATCGTTACAATGATAGCAAACCCTGCCGTTGATCAAGTCATCTCTGCTGGTTATGGTAATATATAGCCTAGTATATCTATGTAGAGACGATAAAAGCAAGAAAATGTAGTTGAATGTAGAGGTGTAGGTAGGACTAGAGTTAGGGGTAGGGTAGAGGTGTAGGTAGGACTAGAGTTAGAGGTAGGGTAGAGGTGTAGGTAGGACTAGAGTTAGCTGTAGGGTAGAGGCGTAGGTAGGACTAGAGTTAGAGGTAGGGTAGAGGCGTAGGTAGGACTAGAGTTAGGGGTAGGGTAGAGGTGTAGGTAGGACTAGAGTTAGGGGTAGGGTAGAGGCGTAGGTAGGACTAGAGTTAGAGGTAGGGTAGAGGCGTAGGTAGGACTAGAGTTAGGGGTAGGGTAGAGGCGTAGGTAGGACTAGAGTTAGAGGTAGGGTAGAGGTGTAGGTAGGACTAGAGTTAGGGGTAGGGTAGAGGTGTAGGTAGGACTAGAGTTAGGGGTAGGGCAGAGGTGAGGGTAGGACTAGAGTTAGGGGTAGAGTAGAGGTGTAGGTAGGACTAGAGTTAGGGGTAGAGTAGAGGTGTAGGTAGGACTAGAGTTAGGGGTAGAGTAGAGGTGTAGATAGGACTAGAGTTAGGGGTAGGGGTACGAGCAGCAGTAGAAGTATACATGTTAATGTAAAAATCTCTGTGTATAAATAGACATCAGTCCTACAGAGTTGCCAATTTCTTCCAGATAATTCAATCAAGATCTGGCGACTGTTTCCATTTGCCGAAGAAGCCCTTGCACCACTGATGTCTCTGTACTGTCAGGAGACACCCAGACACCTGGCTGTTGCACATCACAGGCTCCTTGTCGCACTGCATGAGCCCGCTACTGCATCGTACAACGTGGTGGTGTTTAAAACTACTCAAAAAGGTACAACAAACTCATCTGGTTGTTTGTGTGCGCATTTGTTATCCGTGAACTTAATAATAATAATWATTATTATTATTACTATTGTGATTATTATTATTATTTGTCATTCATGAACTTAGGACGGGACAGAAACATGTTGTCGACCCTGAAACGACATCTAGGTCAGGGCACGGCTAACTCACAGATAAAATTGGACAGATGGACACGGTTGGGAAAAAAACAGAAATAAATAATGGACTCTATGATACTTTGGACGTAATGTTTTCCATATGGTGTATTTTGTCAGGCAGATTAACTTGTGATCAGCACGCCTTAGTGAGACAAATAGCAAGATCAGTTCCCTGCCTGAGCTTCTCTTTAGGGACACTGTTCAGCTAGGTTTTGCACGAATATTCAAACTTCTTTAAGTTTGCCCTGGCATCTTGATAGTATATTCTCCWCTACTCCTCGTATAGCTTTGGCACACCCATACAACGGAGCACTGATAGAGAAAGGGGTTGAGTGCGTATCCTTGGCTTCCACTGAAAGCAGTGACTACTGCAGTTAAATATTGCTGGTTTTCAATCATTCCCAAGAGAATGAAATAAAAGACACGGCGGCCATGTTGGATGATATAAAAAAAGAGACTAATGACGAATATTTTGTTAAATTCATCCAACATGGCGGCTGTGAAAACCATCAGTAGTATCTTGATAACTATTAATTTGTGTTTTAACAGAGCGCTTCGACCATAATAGCGATAACGACCATACCGATGATATCACAAGCGTTGCCAGCTGTACCAAGATGAGACTRTTTGCCTCGTGCAGTCTGGATGGGTCCATCCGTATATGGGACGAATCCAATCACCTTGTGAGAGTCATCACCCTCAATGCCCTGCCAAGCTGTCTGTGTTTTAGCAGTCAGAAGGGTGACCTTCTTGTTGGGATTGGTAACCATCTGCACAAGATCGAGTACGCTACATGTAAGTAAATAGCCTGTCAATGGCTTATCTTATAGTATTTGTAGGATGTAAGATATGGGGGGGGGGGGGGACATTCATTAAAGGCGCGATTGCACGGAGCTATTTTGTCTGAAACTTGACTCGCAACAGCGGAGGGTTTACGCCGTACAACGGAGACGCAATCGATGTCAAAAGTAAAAAACGAATTCTACTTTTTGCAACGATTGCTGCAAAATGTCTCGCAACATTTTTTCAAATTGCGCTGTAGGTTACATTCTGCAATTCTCCATGCAACTGCAGAGACAAGCATGAGACAAGCTGCAGCATGGAGAAAATCGCTTCGTGTAATGGCGCGAACATCAAGTGTTGACGTCACATCAGGTAGTGCTAGATCAAATATACTGATCGTATCTACATATCTGTTGATTTTTTCCTTCCCCAGACATGCCACGTTCCTATATCTACCGCATGGTTGCCATGGAGTTCCAGAGACCAGTGGCCGAGAATCCTATTCCAATAGACCCTGAGGTCAAGACCAACATGACTCCAAACGACCTACACCGACTGACACAAGCCAAGTCTTCTGTGTTCAAGTTTGAACGATTTGCTGATTTATTGTCGCCGGAAGAGATGGATGAGAAGGCACAGGAAGAAGAACGCAGGAGCAAGGTTATTGAAATAGGAATATTTTTTTAGACTCGTTCTCCTTTGGTCTTTTCCCTTTTATCCACACTGCTCTCATCCACTTAACTCGTTCAGCCATACAAATCTCTCCCATCTACTCCTTTCAGTTTTTTCCGCGTTATTTATACAGTGTAACCAAGTTATTGCATGTTAACTTGTTGTTATTAACCACAGGCTTTTGCCAAGATCCAAGAACGTGAGAACGAGCTCAAGAAACTTCGTGACGGAGTGTACGAATTCCAAAAGCGTAAACCCCGCCCCAACAGTGAGTTAGTGAACCGAGATGGCTTCAACCGTTACCTGGCTATCTTCTACAAACGCCCGGGAATCGAAATCCCAGACGAAGATGAATTCTATCGTGAAGATTCAAAACAGTACGAAGACCCGGATACCTACGCACCTGACAGGCAGCCCGTAGGGTTCTTCGCCATAAAAATGAACTCAAAACGATCAAAGAAAGAACGACCAAGTTTTAAGAAAGATATCATGTCATTATCAATGCCGGAATTCCAACCACAAGTGCGGCCTCYTTCTCAAGAACCCGAGGAGGAATCCGAGGAAACAGAAGGAGAAAAAGCACGTGAATTTGCCGTCAGTCGTCAAGGCAACCTAGCAGACGAAACGGAAGTTGAAGGAATAGATCGACCGGAAGTAGAATCCCTGGACAGACCGGAAATGAGTCCAAGAAGCAAATCCATGGTTTCATTGAAGAGCAAAGACTATAGGAGCATGGCTATCGAGCCTCCTTTGATAGGTCCTTCGCAAACTAATGAGCAATATATTATCGATGTACCGAAGACTGAACGATATCCTTCTTCGACGATGTGTCGGCATATGGTCGCTCAGCGCGCAACGCGATTGGTTTCCCGAACGATTTCCGACGATGGCCGAGAGACTTTCGTTATCGCGCCGGATGGGTTTATACCCAACTCGGTGGTCGTGTCTCTGTTCAAGGACCTTAAAGTTGAAACACCAAAGGAACGAAAAGAATGGAAGCCTCCAACATTGACAGCTGAACAGCTGGCTGAGATAGAAAAGAGAAAAAAGGTTAGTGGGTGTGATCTAGCGTTATCTAGCAGTGGTTAATATATTCAAGATATCTGGAATGATACAGATGACACGGATCACGCGAAGACGGGGAAGAAAGTAAATTTGATTATTAGGGATGTAAACAAGATAAAATGGAAAAGAGATTGGTTAGAAACAAAAGATGAGGGTAAAAGATGAAAAATATTTCCTTTTCACTCCGATTTTTTTCATTCTATAAACAATTAATTCAGCTTAATTAAAATTGCATGCATTGGAATTGAATCTACAAAGAGTGAGAAAGAAAAAGAAAGAAAAAAGAAGGAAAAGAAAAAAAGGGAGGAATTTGGAAAGGTAGAAAGAAAAGTCAGTAAGAATGAAGGGAAGAAGGAAAGAATGAATGATTGCAAGCTACGCCTTAACTCTACCGAAAATTGTTGACTTTTTGTTCTGTATTTTCCCCCCTTCTAATTCCAGAAACGCGAGCCGTCTCCAGAGCCATCACCACCCAAAAAGAAAACGCCCAATCGTTTCGAAGAACAGCTAAACCGTGCGTTACGAGATATCCCATTACCTGAACCGGAACCGGAAATAAACTTGAAATCTCCGACACCACCCCCAACACCACCCCCCAAAGAACCCACGCCACCTCCGTCACCCAAGCCTTCTCCCAAGAGAGAAATAAAACCAGTCAGGAAGATCGAGAAACTGATAACAAGACCAAAACCTCCAACACCACCCCCGTAAGTAGAATATTGTAACTGTAAAGCAGCAAAGCGCAGTCCCTTTTTTTGCGTGAATTTGATATTTTTGCTCCCGGGAGGGGAGGGCAGGGGAGACATGAGAATAGTTAGCTTCAACTGAACCTTTGTTAAGTGTAGTTTTGCTGTCTTTGTTAGTGTACCCTACCAAGAGAAAATTTGATGCTATTTTTAGGATCTTTGATTCCATTTTTAGAATCACTTATCTCGGTACGCGCATACTACTAGTGCGCATACACGTGAAAAAAGTAACCCTAAACCGCTGGACATAAAAATAGAAGATAAAATGATTAAAACCACGTCAACTTTATCAAAAATAAATGGGTAATTACGAATGATATAAAAACTTCAATAATGTATATAAAAAAGATTAATTGGTTTTTTAAAAACATTGAAATCATCGAGAGAAATTACATAAAAAATACCAAAAGTTAAAAAAAAGTTCAGCAATTTTTGTGAAGACAAATGCGTGGAATTAATTTCATAAACGAAAGGGAGTCTACATTGACAAGCAAACACTGCCCGTCATGTGAATGAATCTCATGAATCTCACTAATGCCTACATTGACAAGCAAACACTG